CAAACTGTCATCCTGCAATTAGTACAGTACCGCCGGCACGACTTATTTATTTAATAGTACCTTACTACTTAAATAACTATAGTAATTCTAGAGCTAATATATGCTAAAAACCCTAACTTTAGAAGGGGTGTATTTATTAGATAAAAAACTAACGCCCTTTAGGGCTTCTTAGTAATTTATAATAACTTTACAGATTGTATAGCCTTGCGCTAGCAACAGTTTATTTAAATTTCTGCCCTATTAACTTTTAATAGTAAGGTATTAGCTTACTATAGTTTTAACAGGTAACGGGGAATTAGGGTTTAATTCTAGAGAGGGAGCCTAAGAAACAGCTACCATATCTAAGGAAGGCAGTAGGCGCGCAAATTACCTAATCCTAATATAGGGAGGTAGTGACAATAAATACTAATATAGGGCTCTTTTAGGTCTTGTAATTAGAATAAGTACAATTTAAACCTCTTAATAAGGAATAATTAGAGGGCAAGTCTAGTGCTAGCAGCTGCGGTAATTCTAGCTCTAATAGCGTATATTAAAGTTATTGCAGTTAAAAAGCTTGTAGTTAAAACTTAGGTCTAGCTAGCAGGTCCGCCTCACCGCGTGTACTTGTCTAGCTAGGCCTTCCTTCTAGAGAACCTTATGCCCTTCACTAGGCGTGTTAGGGACTAGGACTTTTACTTTAAAAAAATTAGAGTGTTTAAAGCAGGCCTTTGCTTAAATACGTTAGCATAGAATAATAGAATAGGACGTGTGGTCCTATTTTGTTAGTTTCTAGGACTGCTGTAATAATTAATAGGGATAGTTAGGGGCATTAGTATTTAATTGTTAGAGGTGAAATTCTTAGATTTATTAAAGACTAACTACTGCAAAAGTATTTGCTAAGGATGTTTTTATTAATTAGTGAATAAAAGTTAGGGGATTGAAGATAATTAGATACTGTCGTAGTCTTAACTATAAACTATGCTAACTAGGGATTAGGCAATGTTCTTTTTCTAACTTGCTTGGCACCTTACAAGAAATTAAAGTTTTTAGGTTCTAGGGGGAGTATAGTCGCAAGGCTAAAACTTAAAGAAATTGATAGAAGGGCACTACTAGGCGTAGAGCCTGCGGCTTAATTTAACTTAACACGGGGAAACTTACTAGGTCTAGATAAAATAAGGATTAACAGATTAAGAGCTCTTTCTTGATTTTTTAGGTGGTGGTGCATAGCTATTCTTAGTTAGTAGAGTGATTTGTCTGCTTAATTGCGATAACAAACGAGACCTTAACCTGCTAAATAGCTAGGCTAGCTTTAGCTAGTTGCTAGCTTCTTAGAGGGACTATTAGCTTAAGCTAATAGAAGTTTAAGGCAATAACAGGTCTGTAATGCCCTTAGATGTTCTAGGCTGCACGCGCGTTACACTAACAGAGCTAACAAGATTCTTTACCTTAACTAAAAGGTCTAGGTAATCTTGTTAAACTCTATTATACTAGGGATAGAGTATTACAATTATTGCTCTTTAACAAGGAATGCCTAGTAAGCGCGTGTTATTAGCATGCGTTAATTACGTCCCTGCCCTTTATACACACCGCCTATCGCTACTACTAATTAAATGGCTTAGTAAGGCCTTTAGACTAGCTTAGGGAGGTTAGTAATAACTACCCTAAGCTAGAAAGTTCGTTAAACTTAGTTATTTAGAGGAAGTAAAAGTCGTAACAAGGTTTCTATAGGTGAACCTGCAGAAGGATTATTACCTATTTTTAAAGCACTGCCGCCTTAATTAGTAGTAGCAGTCTACTTTAATTCTGCCTATATTTTTTGCGTACTATTTGTTTCCTTAGTAGGCTTGCCTACTAATTAGATCCCCTAAAACTACTTATAATTACAGTTAGCGTTAGTAATAATATAATAAATTACAACTTTTAATAATAGATCTCTTGGTTCTAGCATTAATAAAGAACGCAGCGAAATGCGATAAGTAGTGTGAATTGTAGAATTTAGTAAATTATTAAATCTTTAAACGCATATTGCGCCCCTTAGTATTCTATAGGGCATGCCTGTTTAAGCGTTATTTGTACCCTTAAGCTCTACTTAGTGTTAGGTGTTTGTTCTACTTAGGACTCGCCTTAAAACAATTGGCAGCTAGCATATTAGCCTAGAGCGCAGCACATTTTACGCCTCTTGTTATAGTTATTAGTATCTATTAAGATACTTTTTAAGCTCTTAACCTTAGATTAGGTAGGGATACCCACTAAACTTAAGCATATTAATAAGCAGAGGAAAAGAAACTAACAGGGATTGCCCTAGTAATAGCGAGTAAAGCGGCAACAGCTTAAATTTAAAATCTAGCTCTTTTAGGGTCCAAGTTGTAATTTACAGAGGGCGCTTTAGCATTAGTAGCAGTCCAAGTTCCTTAGAACAGGACGTTATAGAGGGTAAGAATCCTATACGTGGTCGCTAGCCTTCGCTATGTAAAGCCCCTTTAATAAGTTAAGTTATTTAGGAATATAGCTCTAAATAGGAGGTAAATTTCTTCTAAAGCTAAATACTAGCTAGAGACTAATAGCGCATAAGTAGAGTAATTAAAAGATAAAAAGCACTTTAGAAAGAGAGTTAAATAGCACGTAAAATTGTTAAAAGGGAAGCGCTTATAGCTAGACTTGCCTATAGTTACTTATCTAGGCTTTTGTCTAGTGCACTCTTCTATAGGTAGGCTAGCATTAGTTTAGGCAGTTAGATAAAGGTCTCTATTACGTACCTCCCTTTAGGGAGGCCTTATAGGGGAGACAATATGCAACTAGCCTAGACTAAGGTCCGCGCATCTGCTAGGATACTAGCGTAATAGCTATAAGTAGCCCGTCTTAAAATATAGACTAAGGAGTCTAACATCTATGCAAGTGTTTAGGTATTAAGCCTAGACGCGTAATAAAAGTAAACAGAGGTAGGAACCCTTTTAGGGTGCACTATTAACTAATCCTAATATCTTTAGAAGGATTTAAGTAAGAGTATAGCTATTAGGACCTAAAAGATAGTAAACTATGCTTAAATAGGGTAAAGCTAGAGGAAACTCTAGTAGAGGCTTGCAGCAGTTCTAACGTGCAAATTAATTATTAAATTTAGGTATAGGGGCGAAAGACTAATTAAACTATCTAGTAGCTAGTTCCTACTAAAGTTTCCCTTAGGATAGTAGTAACGTATTTAGTTTTATAAGGTAAAGCAAATAATTAGAGGCCTAGGGGTTAAAACAACCTTTACCTATTCTTAAACTTTAAATATATAAGAAGTCCTTATTACTTAATTAAATATAGAGACTTAAATATACTATTACTAGTAGGCTATTTTTAGTAAGTAGAACTAGCAATACAGGATAAACTAAACGCGGGGTTAAGGTGCTAGAATGCACGCTTATTAGACACTACAAAAGGTGTTAGTTTATCTAGATAGTAGGATAGTAGCTATAGAAGTTAGAATCTGCTAAGGAGTGTATAATAACTTACCTACTAAATAAACTAGCCCTAAAAATAGATGGCGCTTAAGCGTGTTACCTATACCCCGCCGCTAGGGCAAGATTTAAGCCCTAGCAAGTAGGCAGGCGTAGAGGCTTGTAACAAAGCCTTAGGGGTAACCCTAGGTAGAACGGCCTCTAGTGCAGATCTTAGTAGTAGTAGTAAATACTTAAATAAGAACTTTAAGGACTAAAGTAGGGAAAGGTTCTGTGTGAATAGCAGTTAGACACGGGTTAGTTAATCCTAAGAGATAGGGTAATTCTATTTTAATGTTAGTGCTTACGCCGCGCCCTTAAAAGGGAAGCTAGTTAATATTCTAGCACCTAGATATAGATTCTCCGCGGCAACGCAACTAAGAGTGGAGACCTTAGCAGGAGCCCTAAGAAGAGTTCTCTTTTCTTCTTAACAGTCTGTTACCCTAAAATTAGTTTGTCCAGAGCTAGGGTTTAATAGCTAGAAGAGCGCTACACTTTTATAGCGTTTAGTGCGCTCCTAACAAGCCTTAAAAATCTGCTTAAAGAAATAGTTTTTACGCTAGGTTGTACTTATAACTATAGTAGGTCTCTAAGGTAAAAAGCCTCTAGTTAATAGAACAATGTAGATAAGGGAAGTTAGCAAAATAGATCTGTAACTTTAGGAAAAGGATTAGCTCTAAGGGTTAGGTACGTTAGGCCTTAGGGAGAAGCCTCTAGCGTAGAAGGGCACTAACCGCAAGGTAGGCGCCTCTTAGCGCTAGGGTGTAGACACCCTTAGCAGGTTTTAGCTATCTAGCGTACGTTTAACAACTAACTTAGAACTAGTATAGATAAGGGGAATCTAACTATCTAATTAAAATATAGTATTATAATAGCTAGAAAGTAGTATTAATATAATATAATTTCTGCCTAGTGCTCTAAATATTAAAGCAAAGAGATTTAACTAAGCGCAGGTAAACAGTAGGAGTAACTATAACTCTCTTAAGGTAGCTAAATACCTTATTATCTAATTAGTAACGCGCATAAATAGATTAACGAGATTCCTACTATCCCTATCTACTATCTAGCAAAACTATAGCTAAGGGAACAGGCTTAGCCAAATTAGCAGGGAAAGAAGACCCTATTAAGCTTAACTCTAGTCTAACATTATAAAAAGATATAGGGGGTGTAGAATAGGTAGGAGCTTTGGCGCTAGTAAAATACTACTACCCTTATCGTTTTTTTACTTATTTAATAAAGCAGAGCTAGGCCTTACTACCTAACTTCTAGCGTTTAAGGTCCTTTGTAGGCTAATCTAGGTTAAAGATATTGTTAGGTAGGGAGTTTAGCTAGGGCGGCATATCTATTAAACTATAACGCAGGTGTCCTAAGGGGGACTTATAGAGAATAGAAATCTCTAGTAGAGCAAAAGGGTAAAAGTCCCCTTAATTTTAATTTTTAGTGTGAATACAAACTATAAAAGTGTAGCCTATTAATCCTTTAGTCCCTTGAAATTTAAGGCTAGAGGTGCTAGAAAAGTTACTATAGGGATAACTAGCTTGTGGCAGCCAAGCGTTCATAGCAACGTTGCTTTTTAATCCTTTAATATTAGCTCTTCCTATTATACTAAAGTAGAATTTAGTAAGCGTTGGATTGTTCACCTACTAATAGGGAATGTAAGCTAGGTTTAGACCGTCGTAAGACAGGTTAGTTTTACCCTACTAATAACCTTGCCCTAATAGTAATACCGCTTAGTACAAGAGGAACCGCAGTTTTAGATAATTAGTTTTTGCGGCTATCTAACTAGGCATTGCTGCAAAGCTACTATCTACTAGATTATAGCTAAACGCCTCTAAGTTAGAATCTATGCTAGAATAGGGTGATTTCTGCCTGCACTAGTTAGATATAAAAAGGCCTTTGGCCTAGAACCTTACTAGATTAGCGTTAGCAGCCCTATTAAAGTTAGAGTTATTAGCTAGTGTATTATAATTATATAGTACGCAGGATTGAATCCTTTATAGATAACTTAGTTGTCTGGCTAGGTCGTGTAAGTAGTTAAGTAGCCTTGTTGTTACGAGCTACTAAGCGTAAGCCTGTTGCTAGCTTAGTTAAAATTAGGATATTATACCCTCCTTATTTGCAAAACTGCTGCCTAAATAGCTACTATTAATAGAAGGAAGAGGGCTATAGCTAACATGTTATATAGCAATTGTAAGATAGCAAGGGCTAGAGCTAGAAGTAATCCTTATAAAATATACAAAAGAATAGGTTATATGTGTACGTACCTTAGGTAGTTAAATTATAGCATATAAAGATTAAGAAAGGACATAAAATAATCTATACATATTTATAGGTAGTGTTCTATAACTTAGGGCATTCTATAACCCTTTATTTTTTAGGGGTAGTGTTCTATAACTTAGGGCGTTCTATACTTAAAAAATCTTATAGGCTATTCTATAACTATAGATTATTCTAAACCTTTAGGGCATTCTATTAATGTTTTAAAAAATCTAGAAGGCTATTTT